AAAAAAATAAATAGATTTCTGCGCTGATAAGAGCGTATATAATAAGGCAATGCTTAATGGTGTGTGCGAGATCAAAATATTTCATTTGCTCCCGCAAGTCCAACATGCAGGGGACATGGTGGACTCTAGAACCCTCTTGATTAGACACCTTACATGGAAGTCCTACAAGCTCCAATGCAAGCAAAATGTTTTTTTGGTACCTAGAGGAAACTCTTTGCTAAAAGTATTTTTAAAGCCCCATAATTTTTGGAAAGTGACCTACTCAATGTAGTTTCCCTTCGAAAAGAAAAAAAATGAATTAATAGACATCATGGAATTGCATGGAAAAATCATGCCCTAATATTGACAATGATAATCCAGGTGTCCATGTATCAAAATCCTTTGTTCTTTGTGAAAATGTTATCATCATCTCAAGTTTTAAAGTTGATTTAAAAACTTCACATAAAAAAAAATCCTTCTATGCATGTTATTTGCTTCGGCGTAAATGTAGAGGTGGCAGTGGATCTGTACCCGACCTAGATCCAGGTATGGGTCCAAATATTAGACATGATGGGTCGGTTCCAGGTCCAAATCTTGAACCCGAATACCATTTGGGTTCGGGTCTCGACCCACGTGGATCCGACCTGAGTACTATTAATATTTAGTATATAATATTTTAATAAATATAACTCAATATTTTAGTTATAATATTATATATATGAATTATTTAAATGGTGCGGTTTGTATAGAGCTGAGGCTCTAAACAACTAAAGTAAAGCACACCTTTAAATAGTATCGAGAAATGTGGTTTCAATACTGGAAATCATTGTGATAGCCTTAAAATATATTTTCATATTTCTTTATAAAATTTAAAGCTTAAAAAATAGTATAGATCAAGTAGATCTAGGAAATCTTGAAAATTGACGATCAAAAAATGCATTACAAAATGCTCTATTTCCAAGACTTGAAATCTATTTTTTTACTTATGTCCATGCGTTGTGATCTTGAGATGATCAATTTGAGGATATTTGGGCAACAAAATAACCTCTTATAGTGAAATTTGTGAGGTGGGCTCGAATTTGATTGTTTAGAGCCTCGGCCCTATATAACTTTTTTCTTATTTAAATATTATAACTATTTTTAGTTATAATATTTAAATAAGGGTGCAGTTTATATAAGGTTGCAATCTTAAACAATCCAATTAAGGCGCACCTCCAAAGTGTATCATAACAAGCAATTTTAGTGAAAAACATTATTAAGATTATCTCAAAATCTATTTTTATATCTAACTATAAAATTTAAAACTAAAAAATGGTTAAAATCAAGTAGATCGATAAACATATGAAAATCTTGTAAATAGACGGTCTAAATAATGTATTGCAAGATGCACTATTTTTGGGACTCAAAATCTTTCTTTTTTTTCCATATTCATATATCTTGATTTCGAGATGACCAATTAAAGGTTTTTTCAACATTAAAACAACCTTTTTCGAAGGATATGCCAGATGCATATGTAATTGTACATTTGATGGTTGCAATCTTATATAAACTTTTTCCTTTAAATAACACACACACGCATATATAAAGGTGTGGTTTCTATATGGTTGCAACCTTAAACAATCCAATTAAGGCCCACCTCCAAATTTTAGCATAACATGTAATTTTGGTGTAAAAAATTATTAGAATTATCTTAAAATCTATTTTCACATCTAATTATAAAATTTTAAACTCCAAAAACGGGTAAAATCAAGTAGATCTACAAATATATGAAAATCTTGAAAATTGACGGTCTAAATAATGTATTGCAAGATGCACTATTTTTGGGACTCAAAATCTTCTTTTTTTATATATTCATCAAGATATGATCAATTAGAGGGTATTTCAACATTAAAACAACCTTTTCCAATGGATTTTTGAGGTGCAACTATAATTGTACATTTTAAGGTTGCAATCTTATATAAACTTATTATTATTATTTATTATTATTATCTTTCAATCGGGTCCGAGTCTTGATCTAGGTCCAGTTGCATCCGGGTCTAGGTCCAGGTCCAGGTCCTGGTTCGAGTCCCACAATTTTTTTTTTGGACTTAGACCTGGGCCGGATCCAACTCAACCCGTTGACCCCTAAAATGTAAGATTTGCTCCCACCAAAATGTATGCCGTGTTCAAAACAATAGAAGGGTTTTGGAGCTTTAGAAAATGTCATAAATCAAAATGCACTCGAATATTAAATCTGAACCAATGAATGAGTCTTGGGCTCAAATTTCTCTCTCTGAAATTGATTTTGGGGTATACATAAACGATGTTCTTGGTCCTGACAATCGAGCAGTCGCCAAAGTGTTTTGCCAGTTTGGTCATGCGGGACCACAGTGAAAACCCGCATATCTATCTAAGTCTTCTATTGCGACAACGGCCAAGGTACGCACCGCGTTTGTCAAACATGAGAAAAGTTCCGGTGGTGAAACTTATAATGTCAAAGGCGACGAAATTTCTCGGCAGTCAATACTCCCAATGGATGATAAAATATAAACTTTTGCTTTTGACAATCGATATGCCCTCGCCTTATGCATTATATGCATTTGGAGTCACCACTTTATTTAGATATACAAAATCATTGTTCTAGTCAAATATACATGGAAAAGTCCATATGTGAAAAACTATACAAGATCATTTCTCTTAGGTTCAAGGAGGTTACCATCTCTCTTAGCCAGTGAATGTTGGTTGGGCTAAAAGCTTTAAATTTAGTGGAATGATTTAAATCGTTAAATTTTATATTTGACAGCTAAGAATGATTGTGATCTTTTTTAACAAAACTTATTTATTGTCTCATATTAAATTATCTCATTATATATTATATAGTTTATTTTGTCCAATATCGAGTTGTGCCCATCACTAATTTGTCTATTCTATACACCAAAAAAATAAAAAAATAAAAAAAAAATAAAAAAAGAAAGGCTCAACTTGGGTTTGTATCAAAGGTGACATAACTTCTAATGCCTGCCCTATGGATTGAATGGGTTGTAACCACCACTAAAGAGGTGCCTTGGTTGAGTTTTGATGGGACTTCCTTTCAAAATTGCACCGTTCGAAAAGTGATAAGAGGTCATTCAAGGAAGTACATCCTTGTCTATTTCCATAGTACCAAAATGTTCAATGAATGAAACTAAAACCAAAGCATATTTATAAGACATAACAGCTACCAGAGGACATGGTGGTGGAAAACAATTTACATATTGTTTTTCAATAGATCAAAGAGGACCAAGCATGCTTATGGAATCTTTATTGATGAAACAGGTACATCTCTAGAGATTTGGTAGTATCTTTCAATCATGTTCATAGAGAGAAAAGTGTAATAGCAAACAAAACCAAAGAGAAAAGGCCTTATAACTCATTTTGAACGGTAAAGATGCGATGGAAATTTGTACTCGTTATCACTGATAATTCACTGTTAAGAAATAACCATAATAATGAATTATTTGTTGTTGGGTTGCATCCATCGTAGAGTTATATTTTTAGGAAAAAAAAATTTTATTATTCAAAGTGTTTTATGAAAATCACATTTTTTTTGGCTAGAAAAGCTAAAACTAGTTGTAATAGGGATAGGTAGCTACAAGTAGTGCTTGAGTGGGAAGAGTTGTTTACAGGCTATGCCACCCATAACTTATGAGGGAAGTTGCCTACGTCCCATCGCAAGCACCTACAATATCACGATTGCAATGAAAATTTGCCAAAAAGCTGAATAATTAAGTAAAATTGATCAAAATACATGTAACATTTGAATTATTTATCATTCTACCTTAGGTATACCTTGATTAATTTCAAACCCATTTTGATTTGTCATTTAATGACTATTTAAATTTTGATCAAAAGAATGATGGGCAATTTGACCCAAGAAAAAAAAAAAAAGACGGGCAATTTGAAATTAATTCACCCAACATGGGTAAGATATTGAATAGTTCAAATCATAGGTACAGTTTGACAAATTTCTTACTAATTAATAAATAATATTACACATAATATTAGAGACTTACCAAGCAAGAAACAAAGCAATACAATATTTTCCATAATATATTAATTTTATATAAGATAGTCTAATCTGAATAAAATTGATTATCATCCGGCCACAGTAAAAGAAGACAAGAAATTACAGCGTTGGAAACCAGGAATCAATGCTAAATTTTATTAAGTATAAAGTTGATTGAATTATGGCGGAAAAGAATTGATGGTGTTGAAAGTTGCAAGGGAGTCGCTGACAATATGGGATAGGAAAAATTTTATATGAGTCAGTACACTTAAGAGCCCGCTGACCCACAAAAGTGCACTAGACCTTATTACATATGGAGTGGAGCGGTGCACAAAAAATCACAATAAAATATAGTTCAATTAATATTAATTTTAATATTTTTTATATTTAACATCTCTTTGACCTAAATGATAAAAAAATCAATGTTTAAGATGAATTTTCATATGCATACATGAGTCATAAATACCCCGTCCATGGGAATATTGATGTCATTGATTACAGGCATTGGGACTGGCTTTGTCAAAGGGTGGATATCCATTTAGACCTGTATTTAAAAATGACAGAGGAAGCTTAGGGTCGAAGTGTTGCGGCTTAGTGTTGATTTTGTGTGATCCGCCCTTTCTCTCTCCTCTCTCATCGCTCTCTCTCAAACAATTGGCGTGATCCGCACTTCTCTGTCTTAAATTTCTTCCACCCCTCTCTCCGTTGTTTCTTATTAAGGTGGTGGGATCTACCGTTTCTCTGTTAAATTCATCTGATCCATCTACCTCTTTCTCTCTCCTCTGCTTCGTGGAGCCCAGGCTTGGCCCTTGCTTTGCTGGCCCTGAGCTCTTTTGTTGTTTTTTTGTGGGCTTCCTTTTGTCGTGTGAGCGAGACCATAGTTTCAGTTTGCCCCATCAGGGATGATGCGGCTTTGGAGGCCCTTCTCTTTCTCTCTCTAAACCATTTTCATCCTCGCTTTCTCTCTAAACCATTTTCATCCTTTCTCTCTCTAAACCATTTTCATCCTCTCTCTCCAAACCATTTTCATCCTCTCTCTCTCTCTCTCTAAACCATTTTCATCCTCTCTCTACCCATTAACAAACTTCCCCACAAAAGGCAAAGAAAACCCTAAGCTTTTTTCTGCTGTGATTTGATAGATCTCCAGATCTGCCTGCGTCAAACTCCTTATAGACCGAGAAGCTCTTTTCCCTTCTCGTTCATGCATCCCCTCTTTCTCTCTCCTCTGATTCCGCACTTTCTCTCTCCTCGGATTCAAAGACCGGATGCCCATACCGAAGCGCTCCCTTGATCAGTTCTCAGAACAAAAAACCAGGGCTTTTTCTCATATTTTTTCCCAGTTGGGTGATTGGGCCAATTGGGTAGCGCCCCCTCTGTCTTTCTCTCTCTACAACTCGTTTTTATTGTTTTTATTGGGATTTTTGGCAGGTGAGTTGGGTTTTTTTATCTCTCTCTAGAAGTGATTTTCATTGCTTTGTTGGCATTTTGGGCTGTCGAATTGGCGCCTCCATCTTTTTGTAGCTTTATGGGGATTTTGGGCATTTGAATTGGGTTTGTCTCTCCTCTTTCTCTAGGGAAATTTCCCTTTTTTTTTTTTTTGTTGGGTTTTGTAGGGTGTCTTCTGCTGTCTCTCTAGTGCCTCCATAGAGAGAACTTCACCCATTTTCTCTAGAACTCGCAACATCTGAATTGGGTTTCGCCCGTTGTTCTGTCTCTACCTCTCTCCTTCTCTTTCTAGCTTTGTTGTTGCATCCATTTGGATGTTGGGAAATTGGTGGTGGGTTTGGGTGAGATGAGGGATGTTATCAGCGTTGATGAAGCTTGTGAGCGCTTGTTGGAGGCCATCTCCCGATCGATATGTACACACAGGAGGCTCAGATGTAGTGGGAAGGCAAGATGGACTCCTCTGGTACAAAGACACGGGCCAACACTTGAATGGAGATTTTTCAATGGCGGTTGTTCAAGCTAATAATCTCTTAGAGGATCAGAGCCAGATCGAGTCTGGTTCTTTAAGCTCTCTTGAATCAGGGCCTCATGGAACCTTTGTTGGGATATACGATGGGCATGGAGGGCCTGAGACCTCAAGATACATTAACGATCATCTGTTCCCTCACCTCAAGAGTATGCTTTCTCTCTCTTCCTATTTGTGTTGTTTCTCTCGCCAACATTAGATCTTGTTCGATTTTCATTGCGTTTTTTTTGTTTTTTTGGCTGGACCTCATAGAAAGAGATCCTTTTTCCTCCCAGCAAAATTTCTACGGAGTGCTCTTTATTTTCTTTGCTTTAGTTATCGAAGTAGTGAATGCTGGGGGTTTCTATTTGAAGCTCTGCTATGATCTTTCTGTACTGTGTTTAGCCCTTGTTGCGAATGGTAGTTCAAAGTGGTTTTCTTTTGGGTAGATTGCATTGTGTCTTTGTTGTTTGTTGACATTTGGGCTATGGAATTCATTTTTCTCAATCTCTCTCTCATGTCACGGAGCCTAGCTCATTAGGGTGCAAGGAACATATGGTTATTTCCTTGTTTCTTTAAGTAAATGGTATCTGCTCAGCGAGTTTTTCTGTAATAGAGCTCAATTGCTAGTTCAATTGGAACCCCTATATTCTCTACTGTATTTCTACGCTCTCTCTATCTCTAAGATTATTTTAGTTACTTTTTATTAGTTTTGCAGGTTTTAGGACTTTTCAGTCCCACAAACTGATCCAAAAACTCCGCCACTGAATTATCTGCACCGGCCATTTTTACCGAAAAACTGAAATATTTATAACTATGATAGTCTATTACGGTGGACATTTGGATGATTGGGTTTTTCTTCTGGGATTGCTCTTACTCATATGATGTACTCTCTCTCTTCCCTTTACCTGATGGAGTAAATCCACTTTCATTTATTGAAAATGTGGTAATGTCCTGACAAATTTCAGGGAAAACATGGTTCCTGATCACTCAAGTGGAAAATAGCTATAATTGGAACATGATTATAGCTAAAATGGAATGGAACACCACTGTAGCTATAGTGGATTACCATTATCTAGTTTCTGAATTCTGATTAATTATGAATGAGGGAGGTTATGTAATGGAAACACCATTATTGTGCAGAATTTTCCTCAGAGCAACAAACTATGTCAGCCGATGTTATAAGGAAAGCTTACCAGGCAACAGAAGAGGGTTTTCTCTCTCTAGTTACAAAGCAATGGTCTACAAAGCCTCAGATTGCAGCTGTTGGGTCATGCTGTTTGGTGGGGGTCATTTCTGGTGGGAACCTTTACATTGCAAACTTGGGTGACTCTCGAGCTGTATTGGGGAGACTTGTTAAGGCAACGGGGGAGGTTGCGGCCATCCAGCTGTCGGCTGAGCACAATGCAGGGATTGAATCTGTGAGGCAAGAGCTTCAGTCATTGCATCCTGATGATTCTCAGATTGTAGTTTTAAAACATAGCGTCTGGCGCGTGAAGGGCCTCATCCAGGTACCACTCTTTCTCCTTCTCTCTGCAATCTATGTACCAATGACACCTGTGTTTGTATACATTTAGAAGACTCTGACACCCCTGTGCACTAGACACACGAGTTGACATGCATAACATGGGAAATTTGTGTCAAAATGTGTATGGAATTCTTTTTTTTTGGGGACTCGCAGGCACAGAGTGACCACTATATGGACATGCGAGTCCACAGTTATGATGAACAAGACACGTGTGTCCATTTTTGTAAGACACGCATGTCCTCGTTGCAAGACATCCGTGTTCGTCTTGTGAAACATGCATGGATGCACATATTTTATTATTTAGACAAGCATGCCTTTGATTTGGGCCGACATTTTTCAATTTTTAATATGTGCTGCATGTGGTGCGCGCATGCGTGGAGGAATTCATGTATCCATGTCCTTGTAACATACTTTATAACCTGTGTGTGTGTGTGTGTGGGTGTGTGCATTCGCATTTTGTTTCCTTACAAGGCAGAAATATAACTTTAGGGGACCTTGTGCTTCATTGATTTTTATGAATGTCTTTTTACCAATGAAAAAGGAGCAAAAAGAACTTTTAGATATTTGTGGACTTGTCTTTTCGTCAAGATTTCATTTTGGGCTTTTGAAGTAATGGCCTTTGTCACATTATATGGCTTGGTGTTCTTCTTCTATAGAATCATGTGGACATTTTAAATGTCCTTGTTTCCATCTGTCACTTTCATGGCATAGAATTGTAAAATCAGTGGGAAGGATTTAAAACTAGCTTTCTTACTCTCCAGTAAAGAGCATCCTTACCTAATTCAATTGGCACTAATGCCTTATGCACTGTATATAATATAAGTAATGAGCCGGTTGATGAATTGTGATAATTTACAATGACCTTCATTAGGAAGCCACAATATGTGAGCTGAACCAAGAGCCAGGTATCAATGCTAAAGATACAAAATGGATTTAACTAGAATCCGTGCCTGTTGGTGTATGTGAGTCCTTTCAAGTGGATTCTTCTAGGGAAAATGTAAGAGGGTGCTTTATTTGATATGATCCACGTGGTGGCCCATAGAAAGACCCACCTCGTGGCCCAATCCATGTTTGTTGGTTCAACGTTTGCTTTGGAGTAGCTTCTGTTTGGTTAGGGAAGTTCAGGGAAATACGAGCATCCTGAGCTATTTGAAACTTTGAATTAGAAGGGATGCATGCTGTAGTTAACAATCTATGGTTAATTTTATTCATGATATAATTTTTTTTATTAATTTACAGTTATTAGCAATTGTATTGAACTCATTTATTCATAGTTATCAGCAATGCTGTGAAACTCATTTTGGATATATCTTCTGTTTGGTTGGAAAAGAGAAGCATGTTGGTGCTTCGGGTAACTCGGAAAAATTCCTCTGGTTCTAGTTAAAAATAAAAAATTGAAAGTTTTTGTATAAAAAATAAGCTTTCAGTTGAATAAGCAGAAGCAAGGTGAATCTTGTCAAGGAGATTGAGATCGGGCAAAGCTGGACTTGCTTCGGATGGAGAGAGCTTCACTTCAAGTTTGGCTGCCAAAGTGAAGCGAATCTAAAGACATTTGTTGCCATTATTAGTATCAGACTTCTAGTAATAGTAGATAAATACTCAAAAAAAAAGAAAAAGTAATAGTAGATAAAGCACTTGCCAAGCCAACTTGGGTGACTCATGATTTAATCTAAATTAAACTTGGATGTGTGTTAATTGCTTCTTGGACTTGGCAATACTAGAAGGTTGTAAATTACAATTTATTATGAATTTTTATGCATGAAGTGCATTCTTTTGATTAACCTATAATTTATTTGTAATTGTCAGAATTAGTGATTATATAAAAGGGAAATTATTGTGAATATTCCTTAATTTGGGGTATTTAGAAATCCTCTATTTTTCATATTTTACACTCACACCCATTTTTTGTGTTTTTTATTTTTCCAAAATCCCCCCTATTTGGAACTCTGAAGTTTTTAACTAGTGTCATTTTCTTTTTTCCCGTGAGTGACATCCTTTCGAAACTTGAAATTCTGAACTGACTTCTTTGGACCATTAAGTTGTTTGCTGCTTGAAGTTTTGAATCTCTTATTGATGCATAAAATAGAGAAGTGTCCTCAGTTCGGAACTTGAAGTTCTAGACTGAGGACACTTATTTTTTTTAAATAAGTGAATAAGCGGTTTGGAATTTCAATTTACAACCAGTCTATCACTCAAAAAATATGCAAGTGTACCTGGACTTCAAGTTCCAAACCGGGGACACTTGTCTATATTTTATAATGAATAAGTGGTTTGGAACTTAATTTTTGAACCGCTTAATTTTCAAGAAATCTGCGTTAAGACTTCAAGTTCTGAAGCGATGTAACTCAGAAAAAAGGACACGAGTTTGGAGCTGAAGTAGCGGTATTTTGGCATGGTAAAGGGATGTAATCGTAAAATTTGCAAAGTAGGGGAAATTTTTTAAATACTATCAACATTAATTAAGAGATGTGTACGTTAATTTCCCAAATAAAAAATTTGTTGAGTCCATAGTTAGCAAGTCTATGATTAAACACGATTTTTTCAAAAGATCTGTGACTTTTTGAAATCCGTTAGTAATTTTGAGTTTTTCAAAAGATCTTAAAAAATTACATCTTTTTAATGGAACCGATATAAATCTGTATTTTATCTCTTTTTTAAAAATACTTTTTAAAAGAACTTCACCCCTATAACTTTTTTGAAACTTCCATTCTCTTCATTGATTTGATATCTTTGAATTTTGGTTTAGACTCTAGAGATAAGCACATTAGAAGTTGCACTGAATTGAAAATCTTGATTTAGCAAAAACTTTTCATCAAAATTTTTTTACCAACATATTCCCTTAATGAAAAGTGTATTAAACAAAAATACGAGCAATATCTTCCCATAAAAAATAATCTATCAAAATAATTACATATCTCAAAATGAAAGGTAGAGTTAGAGAAAGAGCATCCCAATGAAAAATCTTCTTCTTGTTTTATTTCTTTTTTGAATCCAGAGTGTCATTATAAGGAGCAATAGAGATAGATATTCAATCACAACTAAAGATTTAGGTAGTTGCGACTTCATGGTGAGTCATGTAGTTGATTTCTTTCTCTATACCAAAGAAACTTCTCAGATAAAGAAGTTTCATCGAACACTTTTTGTACTGTCCGTTTTTCTTAGACCTATTTTATAGCAGGTGATGACCACACAAGCTGGTAGCAAAATATGTTTACATGGGTCTTAGAGTCTTTGTATTTCTTCCAGTACTTGAGAGATTGAATGTTTGATGGTTTCGTTTAATACCCTGTCCAATGTGTTTTGAGTAGTGGAGAAACAACTATTGTTTAACTTGGTTGTGAAACAGAGGATGAAACCTGTCCATAACTCCCTATTGAAGAAGAAGAACAATCCTTGAAGAATTGATTGCTCTGAAGTGGCATGTTCACGTATATGCATAAAAGGAGGTTGTGTAAGTGCTTGCATGCTAGGATCCAGCGAACCATTGGAGATGAGATGTTTAGCCCTTGGAATAGGGTAGTGAGCATCCCATAAAAAGTTCTGATGCTTAGGATGAAGGATTTTGATGATTTTCATGACCATTTCACCTTTGTATAGGACGCAAGCTGCAGACCCTTGCTAGTCTTGCTTATAGTATATGCCTCCATTCCAACAGAATACTTCAATGAACAAAACTTCATGAAGGAATTCTAGCGGTTTCTTGATCTTTGCATTCCATTTTAATACAGCAATTAATAGCTAACAACTTTATATTAGTTTAGGGACTCGGAGTAAAACTGTGGTATACTGATGTGCAGATGCGACAAGTTTCTCGAGTTGATATGGATGAAGTGCAAAACTGAAATCTATACAATAAAGAAGCATTTTCATTTTGTTTTTTGTTTTCTATGCGACTTAGGACAGATTAGGAGTACTGCTGAAGACGGTAGATTCACAAGGAAATGAGCATGAATGACCAATGTGAGCCGAACAAAGGCATCGAGACACGCTAGATCTTGAATGAGGGTGATACGTAAGATGTCAAATCTGCCTTGCGCTTAGGATAGGCGAATTTATACTTGATATGGATAAAGTGCAAAACTGAAGTCTATACAATAAAAAAGCATTTTCATTGGAGGGAAGTATCTGATCGGTATGACGTGTACTAAGTTTTGTTATTTGTTTTCCACGCGACTTACTTTTCAGAGGTTGGATATCTGCCAATTTTTTCCACTAAGTGTCCAATTTGACAATGTAAAGAATTCAAAGAGGCATGGAATGCTAGATGAGATTGTACTCATATTATAATCGATAGATAGTGTTGTAATGATTTTATTGATAATGCTTTATTGATAATGCTTTGTGTCGTAAAAATGCATGGGAGGTCAATGGAGAAAATAAAGTACCTTTGTTTAGGATTCCGTTTGCAGCTAAATTGCATTGATCTGATGTTGTGAAAATTGTTAGGCTCCGTCGACGTACAGAAAGGGATGGTTTACGAAAATTTATTATGAAGTACCTTTAGAACCAGGCATGTGGCTTCAATTTCTTAAGATAGTTTTCCTATGGACAGCAGATTGTGGTCACTATCCATCAAACTTAAATGGTTCTGAACAGTTTGGTTCTATTTGTATTGCCTGTATGATTTGGAGTACTGCAAACTACAAGGGTGAAACATGTAATGTGAAATAAATTAGGGTTCGTTTTGCACAGATTGAATTTAAATTTTATTTTTCAGGAGTTTGTGATTATGCGATTCTTATTCCCTTGAATGTTTTGGTACCTGACAGTGGGTGAAAAGATTCATTGTAGAGATAAATTAGGGTGTATGTCCTGATTGAATTTAAATTTACTTTGCAAGAGAGCTTGTTATTTAGTGATTCTTCTGCGGCCTCTGTATGTGATAGCCTTTGAAAGTAACTGTTTCCTTTGTCATGTGTGGACTATACCCAAAGGGAGTTTATGATTGTTTGTTTTATGGTGATCTCTTGCAAGCAGTTTGGTCAAGTGTTGCACTTTGTTTTCCTGTTTGGGAGGAGGGGGGTGATCTCTTATAATAAGTGGTTGGGTCAAGCGTTTCTTTTAATTAAATAATATATTTATTAAACTAATTTTGGTAGTGTTTTTAATTCTTGCCATTGGAAATGATTATTGTTTCTTTTGTGAATAACTTATATGGTAATTGGGACAGTGGGATTGCATAATTCTGTTGCACCTCATCTATAACGAAAATTCTTCTGGACCTCTAGGTGTTATATCTTGTATATTTTTTCTACATTTTGTTTCTTGCACATGTTTCTTCTCTATGCACCTATTTATAGGCACGGGTGGAATCTAGCTTGTTGAGCATTTGATATGCCCACCAATGTTTTGGGTAGGCAGTCAGCAAAACATTGGTGTTGATGTCATTTCCCTTTCTGTTTTCTACTTTCATAAATATTTTAAACAGAAAGGAGTTCATGATGTTTTTATTTGGCGGATTTATTTAAGAGGGTTGCAAAGATATACATGGAAGAATAAGTAATTCGTTGTGGACATTTTGCTTTTTATTTATTTATTTTTGATAATTGGTTATGGGGCTTCTGATGCCTCTCAACCTACGAAGGAAAAGGAATACAATTGTGGTGAAGATGCTCGGACATTTAATGGCTAGTCATCATGTTACCAGCTATGATAAGGTAGCTATGGTGGTTGGGTTAGCCTTAGCAACTTTGAGTAGTCTTGGTGGCCTGTTAGTCCATATCCATTAGGGTGACTCTAAACATGGCTATGAGTCTGTGATACAACAAGAAGAACATGGACTATGCCAGTATCAGTTATACAGAGGTGAGGTCCTTCGGCTCAAGTGCTTTCACTGTTTTCAATGGAAGCCACCATCCATTGGCAGCATTGAATAGGAGCTTAATTAGAAATCCTAGTCCAGGAGGAATCAGTGGTTGCTTGCACTCCTCATAGGGGTTAAGGGTTTATGTGCGCTAATGTCATGTGATGGCCTGTCATAAGGAGCCCATTTCATGGACATTGGTGGGCTATTATGCCACATCCTTAAGATAAAGCCACTGCCAACTGTTCTTTACGTTATATGACTTCCCACTGTTTCTTTACATTGCCTTTTAGTACAATGAGTTTGCTGATACCTTGACTGGATGGGGGCATCTTCCCTCTCTCTCACAGTAGGAAATATTGTACCTTTGAGTTCTCAGTCATAAACTTATAATTGTAATTGAGTTACAGATCAGAGAAAAAGAAAAGGTTTGAGATTATGCCATTTGGCATCCTTTAGAATAACCAGTCCGTGGATTATAATTGAAATAGTATGTTTCTTTTATTTATTTTTGTCACACCAAGTTGCTACCCTTAGATCATTAGATGTTAAATAGTGCATTAAAAAAAACAAAGTACTATTGTGATAGAAACTTTTTGCTTTGGTATGTGATTTCCATGTGCATAGGTGGTTTCCTTTTCCCCTTCACTTTTTAATTGTCTTTTGAATTTATCTGTAGTGGATGGGGTTGGTTTTGAACAATAATTTTAACATGAAAAAGCAGAACCCTGTGCATTTCACTTTGATTTCGTCATTGGCGAATGTCATGTGTTCTACAAGTGTGATTCATAAAACACCTTGATTATGTTGTAGGGTATGTAAATAGTATCAAGCCTTAGGAAGGATGGTACTGCCCTTAATTTGTTAAAACCCAATTATTTGGTATAGCTTAAATTCTGGATTTTGTTGGCAGAGGAGCAGTCAAATCCTTCAAAACTAGTGCACAAGTTCTAAGTTATTATATTTTAACTCTGCTTTCACGTATTAACCAAAGTAGCTTGTCCTGAACGATTTCCTTTTGAGGCTTCCTTGACGGGGTGGGTACCGTAATGTTACACCTAAAATTGTTTTCATTGTCATTATATCCTGTTGAAGGTCCTATCACGGTGAAGGTCAATGCACATGGCAGGCCTAGAGTTTTGGAGGGGTGTTGGGTTTTTGGGTTGGGGTGATCTATAATCCGGGATAGATGTTGGGTGAAGTTTTAATGCCCAATCATTTTATTTTTCTTAATTTGGTCCCTGGGCTAAGCTTTCTCTAATGGAAATAGCTTGTGGCATATATCCATAATATGAGCGTACATATCAGTGTGAGCAAAGAAATAAAATTGACTCCCTTGGAATGATTTCTTAAGCAACTTAAATGAAATTGTAGAGCACAGGTTACAGGCCTAACAGATGTTATGCTTAAATTGGCTCTAATACGATTCAAAAGCCATAATGTACTTGGTGACCCCCCTTAATTGTTATACTTTGTGTTGATAATCAAAATAGCCCAAGATAACAGAACAGCAATATAACAGATTAATGAGTTAATCTTGTTCTTGTTTTTAATTGCAATTGCCACTTGCTTATTTTATGTGATTTTGAAAGTATCTGTCTTGATGCAGGTTTCGAGATCAATAGGTGATGTGTACCTGAAAAAAGCGGAATTTAATCGTGAGCCTTTGTATGCCAAGTTTCGCCTTCCTGACCCCATTCGGAGACCAATACTGAGTGCAGATCCAGCAATATCATTGCACCCTCTTCAACCACATGATCAGTTCCTTATATTTGCATCCGACGGGCTGTGGGAGCATCTCAGCAACCAGGAAGCTGTTGACATAGTTCATAACCATCCACGCAATGTAAGCTCTCTTTCTCTCTCTCTCTCTCTCTCTCTCACTCTCTCTCTCTCACTCACACAAGCACTCTGTTTGTTGAAATTTGTGGCCATAGATAAAGCTTTTGTTTCTGCAGGGAAGTGCCCGTAGGCTTGTGAAAGCTGCACTACAAGAGGCGGCAAAGAAGAGAGAGATGAGGTACTCGGACCTGAAGAAGATCGATAGAGGGGTAAGGCGCCATTTCCATGATGATATAACAGTCATCGTGGTTTTCCTAGACTCGCATCTTATAAGTAGAGCTAGCACAAACAGGGCCCCCAATCTCTCTCTAAGAGGGGGCGGGGTGTCAGTACCAGCAAATTCTCTTGCTCCCTATTCAACACACACATAGCAACCATCCCTCGACAGAAAGTACTATCCGATGAGAGAGAGAAAGGAAAAGAAAATATAAGTTGGAATCTTTTATATAAAAAGGCATATCTCAGGACCCTTCTTCTCTGGTATATTTTCACCCCTTCCCACTTCATCTCACGTCCCACCAGTGTCGGGGGAAAGACAGATGGGTTCGTCTCTGATTCTTTGGTGTACAATGTAGCAATCAATCTTTGAGTATGCCCTTTGCGTCATTAAGCTTATTTTAACTAGAGACCGAAATCTTCGGTTTTAGTTTACTCTTAGGAAAGGAGTTTTAGTGCGATATATGTCTATTTGGGGAGCTCCTTTATTTATTTTTCTTTCATGTTCTTTTGGCTCTGTAAATTGTGTGAAACACCCTTCTTTGGCAATCTAAGGTTTTGGTTTTTTTTTGCACTTCGATGCAGACAGGTAGGATGGGTTTCAATTGGAGAGTATTGCTTCTTTTTAATGTGGTGTGGCAGATGGGCAAGTCCACTATCCATTTAGAGAGAGAGAGTATAGGGGAGTGCATCTGGCTTGGTCATCATTTACATGAAAAGATTGGGGTATATTTTGATGTTGGCCTTTTCGAGCACCATTGCAGTTCACAACTTCACACTTTGAACGATGGCCATGGCTAATCTTTTCATTACAAAATCTTATATGCGATCCAACGTTTAAGTCATTTCTTTATGTTCCCTTTTCTATACCACAAATAGGGGCCTTCTACAAGTGTGATTGAAATTAATATATTTCCAAGTGCTAATTTCTGAATTCTTATTTCTATCCATCGATTTAGGAATTAAGTTTTTTTTTTTTACCAAGGTTCTAGAAATTCATTAAATACTGAAAAGGTGATTACACCGTTAGAAACAGTAAAAGAAGAGATTAAACACCTTTTTCTGCCGATGCATCAGCGATGTTATTAACGTTGCAGTAGACATGGGTGAAAGAAACAGAGACAATCCACAACATCCAAAATTGCAACCAAAGCGATCGCAATTACCAATGCAACAACAATTTAGGAATTAAGTTATTAATTTTATATTGGGTGGTACTTATGTACACGGTTTGTATGAGTCCTTGGACTCGTGTAAAAAATATAATAAAAATATTTTTTCTATAAAATATAATGATTAAAATACCTCTTGAAAATTTTAGGAGTATTTTGGTCATTTTATTTTATTAGAAATATTTTTTTATATTTTTTTTGTTAGTGCGAGTTTAATAGAAGATTGGACGTCCAAAATTTGGTATAGAGAAGCAAACATTATTGAGATTGGGGTAATCTTAGCCCTCCATTTAGAATGGACAGTTGACCTTCCTCTCCAATTGGTCACACGAGCAAGTTTGAATGGACTTGCCCGAGTAACGTACAAGCCCGAAAACATTGATATATGGTTTGAAATAAAGAGGGTTACAAACTAGACTATAAATAACATACAAAGTCTAAAAAGGATAGAAAATGATATAAAAGATGGATTTAGAAAAAATTGATATATGTTTTAAAATATTAAACAAGAGTAAAATATAAAAGAGAATACTATGCTCCCAAGGGTGATGGTATGTCTACTCCCTCGATCAAAAACCCTACTTGGGAGATTTTTTTTTTATCTTAACTTTGGGGAGCCAACTAAGAATAGTTAGATGCAAAGTCTCAAAATAAAATTTTTTGAAAATAAGTTTTCTAACACTTAGATCTCCTCTAACAATTGGATAGGTTTCTATTCATATCATTATTTTTAAGCTCATTGATGGTGCAATTAGGAATTATTTTATTGAGCTTAATATTGGGTTGAAGAGGTTACATTCCCAAATTTTGGGGTCATAAAATTAAGGACCCGGTTTCTATGCGGCCAAGCCTGTATATGTAGAAATGCAGTCATATAAATCTATATTTGAGATGGACTTTTTTATTTAATTTTTAAGGATATGTAATCTTTAACATGGAGATCATGAATATAAAAAAATAAATAAAATTTAAAAAGTAGAAGTAATAATTTTAGTAAGAAAATATTTGGACCGTTAGTTTCCATTGTTTTTAGTTGGAACACCTACTTTCATCCATCTTTAAGATGGATGCTTTACACTTTCTAGACCATATATGTAGAAATGTGGTCAAGCGGCATGAAATAATTTTCTTAAAATTAATCTTAGATTGGGTTTTACTTAAGGGAGTAAATACACAGTGTACTGTACTCCCATGAGAGTATAATATCTTTTTGCACATAAAAGTAGGGCATATAACAAGAGTATCTTATAAATCATCGTAAAAATAAATAAAAATAAAAATAAAAGTAAAATAAAAACCATTACATGTATGAAATATTTGTAAATTGATTTTAAAAAAAGTATAATTTTTATTATTTTTTATGAATTCTTATTCTCGAGAGTTTGTCCTTGAGTACTCGGCTCAGCCAAGAGTCCAAGTAACTTAAGACTGAGCTGGTTAATTGTGTTAGAGCTCTAAAATTGCCAAGGAAAATGAAAGTATTTTCTTCGGAAGGAGCAATGTTCAAGGAAAATGAAAGTATTTTTTATGAATTCTTATTCTCGAGAGTTTGTCCTTGAGTACTCGGCTCAGCCAAGAGTCCAAGTAACTTAAGACTGAGCTGGTTAATTGTGTTAGAGCTCTAAAATTGCCAAGGAAAATGAAAGTATTTTCTTCGGAAGGAGCAATGTTCTCAACACATGGAGATTGAATCATAATCGACCATTGGAAAATGTTTATATAAGGTTGCAAGTTTAAAATGTGGAATTAAAGATGCGTCTCAAAAACTCATTAAAAAATATTGTTTTAATATTAAAAACCGTCTGATTCATCTCAACATCGAGGTGTATAAATATGAAAAAAGCAAAAAGATTTTTGAGTCCCAAGAATACTGCATCTTGAAACACATTAACTTGAAGCATGTCCTTAATGAAATTTGAATAGTCTACAATCAAAATATACTCAATTAGACTGCCGTATTTATTGGATAGAGCTCCTTCTCAGAGACTTCATCTTCTATCGCTTGTATTGACCCACGTGTATTCATGTTTCTCTTTACTTAAAACTCTGGTGTTATCGAGGCCAACCTATGGAACAACTTCTTTGATTTGCCTCTCGAATTTAATATTTTTTGTTTCACGGGTTGTTTGAAACTGTTCTATGACATAGAGTTACGGTACTCACCTGAGCACAGTTAAAAGAGGGGGGGATTGAACAAGGGGATTTTCTCAACATATTTTGCTCTAGTCCCTGAGAAATCCTCTATTACTGGTTTGAATGATGTCAGACCAATTAATTTTTCTTACAAGTCTCTATAAAATTATCTCAGGTTCTAGTGGAGAGATTTAAATTGATGCTTTTTTTAATAATTTTAGGTCCACAGTCGGCTTTCATCCAAGATGAATTAATCACATACATTATTCTTATAGCTTGGGAATGCATCCATTCTAGAAAATTGATGAAGAACTTGGTGTTTTGATAAAGTTGGATATGAAAAAAGCATAAAAAAAGGTGGATTGGGATATTATTCATGAGACAATGTTGTGCATTGGTTTTAGAGAACGGTAGAGCGGTTGGATCAATGGGTGTCTCTCTAATGCTTATTTATCTATTTTACTAAAGGTAACCCTAAATGATTATTTAGAGCAACTAGAAACAATAGACAAGGTGATCTTCTCTCTCCTTTCTAATTTATTTTAGTTACAAAAGGATTTAGCATAATGTGGAGGTGCATGGAAAATACGGGTAGATTTTGTGGGTTTGAGATTTTTATTAATGAATTAAGTATTTCACATCTTCAATATGTAGATGACATCTTAATTTTTTGTGACACAAAAGTGGACCATATCTTTAGTATTAACAAATTTTTTAGGTGTTGTGAGGTGGCTTTGGGTTTGAAAGTTAATTTTGAAAAAAACACATTGATTAGGTTACCTGTAGATATCTAATAAGCTATTTTGCATCCTTTATCAACGGCAAAGCGGAGCAATCCCCAATTAAATATCATGGGCTACTTATTTGGGATTCAAGATAGCCTAAAGAGACTTGTAATGCCATTTTTCAGAGTACACTTGAAAGATAAAATTATTGTCTTTAGGGAGGGGAGATGACTTTATTTGAATCGTCCATGGAAAAATTACGCATTTATCAAATGTCCGTCATGTCTATGCCAAGTTCGGCTCTCAAAATGATTGAAAGATTGATAAGAAATTTCCTTTGGGATGAGGAGGATAGATATCACCTTGTGGGTTGGGATAGGCTTCTTACTCCTAAGAGGGAAGTAGACATTAAGCTTGAAGTCTCGAATAAAGCCTTATTAGCCAAATTGCAGTAGAAATGTTGTCAGATGGATGATGATGCAGAGGAAGGCTATAACAATAGAGGTGGTACTCAACAATCTTCCTTATGAAAAGGTATCTCATGGTGTAAATCTATTATTGTGATGAACAGATGATCGGTAAGGGGCATAAGGTGTCCAAATTGCAGTAGAAATGTTGTCAGGTGGATGATGATGTAGAGGAAGGCTATAACAATAGAGGTGGTACTCAACAATCTTCCTTATGAAAAGGTATCTCATGGTGTAAATCTATTATTGTGATGAACAGATGATCGGTGAGGGGGATAAGGTGTCCTTTTGATTCCACAAATGGATTGGCAATAGACCTCCAAAGTTTCAGTGCTCAGATCTTTCTGCAATAGTAGCTGGGCCTTTGGCTAAGGTGAATAACTTGTTGCAGCAAGTTGGTCCCAAGAGGATTTGAAATATTTGTGCGTTTACAATACAGATCTCAAAGTTCTTTATCTTACGACTTACTGATTTGTTAAAGGAGTTGGAGAGTGTTTATCTTTCCAATGTGGTTTATGATGAGAATGTTCGGGAGGTAGAGTGATGGTTTGTTCTCGGTAAGTCAGCACACCAGTTTGACAAGCACAGTCGGGGGCCCAAGGCTAACGAAGATTTCAAAGTGGTCTATTCCCATTGAGGTGCAAGTTTTTTTTGTGGATTGTAATGCTAACTATTGACAATTTGAAAAAAAAAAAAAAAAGGGTAAAATTCTAATTAATGTTTATTTAATGTACAAGGGGGAGGATGAAATCAGGTATTATTTGTTTATGCATTGACCTTTCTGCTTATGATATTCGTATATGGGCCTTCCGTAAGATGGGGGTCTCAGTGATGTTGTCGAGACATCATAGGGATATAATTGAGCATTTGAATTTGCTTAAACTGCCTAAGACAAGGAGAATGATTTGGAAAAAAATTTGGGTGCTTTGTCATAATAGGAGATTTAAAAAAAATGAAATAGAAGAACTTTTGATGGTATAAGCCTGAATGGAAACTTGGTTAAAGAGAAGATTTTACATCCACTATTGAGTTGGCTTTTTGTTTCTAAAAAAAGATAATGGTGTATCAAGGGTGGATGTAT